TTTATATTTTTTCCGAAAACTTGTTTCTATGATTCCTTTAAAGTTTTTTTTTTTTTTTTTTTTTTTTGTGGTTGCTTTTCCCCTGATTTACAATCCAATCATCTGAATGTGGCAGCATGTCATGCTTAAAAGAATAAGACAATCTGACAAATGGAGAACAAAAATAAAATATGTCAGGCATACATGCTAAAGCAGAAGAAAAGTATCTGAAGGGTATGTCTTAAAAAAAAATATATATATATATATACAAAATAAAAAATCTCCAGCAAAGTCATTTGTCAAGATTTCAGCCAATATGGCATTTAAGAACGACCTTGTTGGTGTTAAAATACTCCATTATGTCTGTCAGACTTGTTTACTTCATATATTCAACCATAGAAATAGGAATAAAGCGTGCCTTTGTGACAGGCTGCTGCTAACTAAGAGTCTAAAGGTCCAATTTAAACTTGACTCTTTGTGAGGTTGTCTCTGGACAAACTGTTGGTTCTTCTTTTAACGCCGGGATGATTCATAGGTCAGAGTTAAGTGCCTTAATAAATAAAAGGGTCAGGTGCTGAACCTAAACACGACAAAACAGAGAGCAATTCAAGACAAACTGAAAGATTTTCAGAAAGCCGGAAGAAATATCGATCCTAAACACTTTATAAGATTACATGAAAGTCTGGCTCCCTGGGAAAATATAAAGTGATTACTTTTTTTTTTTCTTTTGTTTTTAACAAATTGTCCCACTGGCTCCCAGCTGTGCTTTAAAATTAAATTAAGGCCATTTGAAATGGGACCCACACTCAGATTAAAGATTATACAACAGAACAGACTCGTACTAGTCACAGTGACTTGCAAAAGTTTTTATGCGTCTTAAATTATTTCATGATTTGTCACACCATGGCCTCAAAGCTTAATGTTTCTATGATGATGATTAAGTGTTGTGGACCGACGTAAAGCCGTACGTAGCTGGGAGAATCTGTTGGCAGGCCAAATACTGGTAGTGCACTCCACAACTTTTGCCTTTATGGAAAAGCAACAAGAAGAACGACGAAGTAAATGACAAGAGCTTTCTTTTGTTTTCACCTAACTAGAGCATTCAGTCTGTTCCAGCTGAAAAAAAAAAAAACAACATCCCCGTAGCATGATAATGTCACAATACATTGTGTACGTCACATTAAAACCTAGTAAAACAAATCAAATTTTGCTGTTGTTATGTAACAAAATGCGGAGAAGGCTCAATGGAAACTTGCCACAAGCCGAATGAGTTGGGAACCAGTGTCTAGCAGAGAGAGCACTGTCTTAACAAACATAATCCTGACGGGATACATTGGCAGAAATGTGTCCTCCATGTGTGATTTCGGTTGACACATACTGCTGTGACGTGTGTGCTTCATGTCATTCAGTGACTGTTTGTACAGAGCGGCGTCTGCTCAGGTGTGTGACAGCTCTGTGGGTGGACACTTTTCTCTGTGAGGCAGTGGCGTGGACGTCTAATGTCTGACAGACGCTCAGAAGGCCCCCTTTGGTTTTCTATTTCTGTGTTGGCTGTAGAAGAAGGAGTCCTGTGCCAGACAAACTTGATTGTTTTTTTATTTTTTTTGTTTGTTTGTTTGTTTGTTTGTTTTTTTTGTCCTGGCACAAGGCACAAAGCTGTTGTGAAGTGGGTCTGCTTTTCGTCTTTGAGGTCCCCACGGGGTTACCATGTCTCTCTGTGTTTCATCACTGTTTTCTTTAAATGTGGCGTTTTACCCTTTGTGTCCTCTGTGTGGCCCCAGAGTGCTCTGAAGTCCCACCGAGCACTGTCATGTCGAGTCAAAAGATTTCTCTAAGCTGTGAACATGTCAGTTATGGCACATTTAAACTGCATGTTAACTAAGCTTTTCTGTTTTTTGCTCCTCTTTTGAATCAGATGCATGCCTCTCGACTCATCTGCATGCACAGAAAAGTCATTCCTTGTTGCTGCAAAGGCTCTACTTTATCTGTCTTTCTTTCACTAATTTATTTCAATCCTTTTTAATCTCCTCTTTTCTGATTAACACCATTCCTGCTGCCTCCTTCTGTAAAGGAAAAAAAAAAAAAGTGGCACTTATCTCTAGTGTTGCGTTGCGTTGTTTTATCACATTATGTTGGTTGGCATGATTTTTAGAGTCAAATAATCTTCCTGTGTACATCTTCTAGCATGACCCTCCTCCTCAGAGCTCTGCCTCATTTGCACATAGAGCAGCCTTCCTTAGCACGTCTTCTGCGAGGTCTGCATGCACTGCACGCTCAACTCGACTGTGAAGTGGACAGGCATCTGCACCTGATCTAAACAAAACCCTCAGCTAAACAAAAAACATGCAACCTGACAACCTGTTAACTCCACACACTTCTAATTCGGGCCTTTTCCGCTCCTGCATTCCTGCCTATTCACAGGTTTAAAGTTGATTTTTTTTTTTCTCTTAAAGGTATGATTTACCATTTCTATCAGAGATGTGTGCTGTTCTCTGGGAAGCAATGAGCCGAAGCAAACCGCAGAAAGAAAAAAAAATAATAAAACAGCTCCAAGAAAACAGCACCCTGCTCCCCTCTGCCTGCTAACCATTTACTCACTCTCATCCTATTTTCTTTCGCTAATGAACTCCTATCACGAGTATAATTTCATTTTCCCCCGCAGTTGTTTCGTATCTGCTGTGTCGGGCGTTTCCGACGCAGCTCAGCATTTCCACTTGAATAAATTATAAATAAAGGCTAAGTAATTGCCTTCAGTAAAAGATGGGCCATGCAAATTTTTTTTTTTTTTTTTTTTTTTTTTTACAAAATATTGATTTCAACATTTTCTAGGAGTTGAAAAGGTAATTGCAGTTTAAAAAACACATGATTCTTCTAGCACTTTTACAACTTGCTTCTGTTTTGCCAACTCCCTCCAGCGGGCGCAGAATCAGTGAGCACCTTTAAGAAGCTCTTTCTGAGTCATCTGTGAGGACTTTTTGGGGAAATAATAACTAGAACAACCAGTTTTATTTGTAGTAGAAGCTGAGAGACAGTCAAGTTTTTTGTTTTTGTTTTTTTGTAATTTATCTGCAGTTAGCGTAGAACATTCTTTATAGTTGTTGACAACCCTGGAAAAGATGTGAAAATCAGCTTTTATATAAATGTGTTTTTTATTGCAGTATTTTTATAAGTAATCTTATATTAAGAAATGTACTTTTTTTAAATATCAGATTATGTATACACTCTGAAAAGTAACATTTCAGAAGGTGGGACAATAAGGCAGATATTTATTTTTCGCAAATTGAATAGATTGACCAGCAGCCTGCACCTGCTCTTAAGCTTTTGTCTCGCTGTTTTTCTACTAGATTGAAGAAAGATAAAGGCTAAAGAAGAAGGTTGATTTTACGTCTGGTGAAGCATTTTCATCAAGATTTGGGTCACTGCAATGTAAATTACCCCGATAATTACCTGCTTTCAGTTTTTCCGTTGGAGTCCTCCAGAACTGTACTTAAATTCTCCTGGCATTTCAAAGAGCTCATGATGCCATGAGAGACTTTGGAAGGCAAACAGGCCCACAGCATCACAGATCCTCATACATGCTTAGCAATGGGCATGGGATTCGCGTGCACATTTTAATCTTTTGGATAAACCTGATCTACCAGGGCTAATTTGTCCTGGTGATCTAAGTACCTTAAGCTAATCTCCAAATGGTTTTGTTTGTAATGATCAGACAAAGAGGGCTGGTTCTTGGCATGCTTCCCAATCCAATAGTTAGTATGGATATAGTGTTTGGATATTTAGATAGTATGGAGTTTGTGTAAATTCAAGATGCCACTCTTTGCTGCAGTTTCAACACACCAGAACACGAACCGGTACTGGAAAAGAGGTTTTTTATTTATTTGTTTGTTTTTGTTTTTTTTTGGAAAACCGTAATACAAACGAAGGGACTTCCACTGACAGGAAGCAGGAAGGCGTCCTCTAAAAGTCTAAACTAACTTTCTGATTTTCCGTGCAGGAGATTTTAGTGCTCCAACTATGAGTTTTGAAGATGTCTTTAACCTCCCTTATTGTGTGCTGTGGAAAAATACATTTGGGTTTTTGTCCAGCCTTGTTTGCCACCTTTCCAGTTTATACATGTTTTAATTATTGGTCTAACTGCAGAAAAGGGCACATTTGGATGAGTGACTTATTTCTTGTCATTATTTCCTGACCCACGGTGAGCAACACACACCTGCCTTACTTTAAATAGAATGTTCTCTGGTCTTTCCCATTTTGAAGTTGTTAGTTGCATAATATTCTGCAACATTGTCAATGTTAGTGAATAGTATGGTAAAAAAAAAAAAAAAGATTAATGAATCCTTTCAAACTCTCTTTTACACCTAAATAAAGTGAAGTCCAAATTACTGATAATTATTCAGTCGCATTTACTACGTAGGAATTAGCGTGCTACCAGTTTTCTTTTAAATTACGGTGGATTTTCTAAGTGAATTATTGCACTAAAATTAAATGTTTAAAGTGTTTTTCATTATAAAATCATCATACTGCAGTTAAAGATGAATTCATTCAAGGTTTGCTATTCATATCCTTACCAGGGGTGTCAATAAGTGTAGGCGGCATTGTGACTGGATCCTTTTCCAATGTTTTCGTTTTGTAAATTTCATTGGTAGTAGCTAAAACCTTCAGTTAAATAATTTTCAGTAGCTGCTCAATCGGGCTTTTAAGACTTCATGAAAGACTCACTTTGACATTTAAAAAATGCACATATTTCTGAGCCGGATTATATATACTCTCCTCGACTTCTGTCTGTCTTATATCCGAGGCTGGATCCAGGACACACTGGCTTAGTTTATACATAAACAAGAAAATGGCCAATCTGTCTCCACCCAGCAGTAACCAAATCCTCCAACTGGGCCGTAAGCTCTTATTGTGTAATCACTGCTGCGCTGAACTATTTCGGAGTAACAATCTGGAGCTTCTTCCTTGGAGACTGTATGGAGTGGATCAAAGAAACTGCAAGCTTCTGGAAGGATTTTGTTACTTTTTGGGCAGAGCTGGGCTCAAACTAAGCCACCTAAAAGCACCAGGGATCAGAGCTTCAGCATCTTCTAATTTATCAAAATGAACCAAACATGCTGTTTCTGGAAATACAGCTAATCCCATGCTTCAAGTTGGCAACAAAGATGGAGTAGGTTCAGCAGTTTCCTTGAGAAATGTCTGTCTTGTTGCTACAAAGTGTGCAGTTTCTGCACCCAGACCTCAATGTGCAGACACACTGAATTTTAACCATATGCATAATAATTTATTTACTACTCAAACACTGCAGCAGTGATGGTAAATAAGTACAAGTCATACATATAAACAGATTTTAGGAATTGTCCATGCTAAAAGCAAATGGAGACAAAAGTTGATCTGAGGCTTATAATCAGCAGACAACATCTTACCTGCTGTGTACTTTGACTCTATACCTGAAAATGTTCTTACCTCCGCTAAAGCTAATATTTGATGCAATATGTTGGTTTTCTTGGATGGAAATCGATTCTGACATTTTGGAATATATTTGAATCAATCTGGATTCTTTGATCAGACCATAACCATGACATTGAAATGAGTTGCAGTTGTCATAAGATACCTGAAATTTGTTCTGGAACTAGCTGTACTCTGATTAGCCAGTAGCTCAACTCTCCAGGCAGAACCTTTTGATGTTTCTCCAAGCTCAGATGGGAGTTGCTGCTGCAAACTCTGCAGCCTGAATAAAATCAATCTATCTTGTTTAGCAGTTAGGTGAAATTTGATGATCCACAGAAATTGCTGACCTTCTGTAAGAGATAACACTTTACCCTATGCTACAAAATTGGTTCAACATATCTCTCAATTTTTTTAAAGAGATATGGCAAAACTAACTCAAACAGTGCCATCAAATGATAATTCTCTGTCACTGCTTTACCAGGCATTTGTCACCGCAGAAGCTGAGCTGCGACAGATATTTTGGGATACTTTGAAAAGATTCTGTCACATAAACATTGCAGCTCTCACATGTCCTTTGCATTGCGCATGTGGGACCTTTGCCACAGCATTTACACGACCGCTCCTGAATAAATATAAGACAAAAGAAATGCACAGTCTGTGCTGATGAATATTAATTTACCTCATCATGCTGGATGCTTGAAAGTGGAATTAAAACTGATAACTTTATTTATCTTTTGATCAGTTTGGTTAAGAGCTTTCTGACCATTTGAGGGTATTTATTCTAGGACAGCCAGTTCATCTTTAAATAAGAAAAGAAAAAAAAAAAAGATGTCACAGCAAAAGTAACATTTTGACAGAGGAATATTATGAATGGTGCTTATCCATATCCACCATTCATAACGGGAACACATGAAAAGTGATCGTCGTACTAATTCCGGCTGCTTTAAATATTCTTTGCACAGAGACAACAGATGAAAAATAACCTTTTGGATAATTATGGCACGTCTAGAAAAAATTTTAATTAATGTGCATAGTCTCTACCAAATAAATTAACTTAAATTATCAACAAAGGTAAAACCAATGCAGTCCAAAAAGCAAATGCATTGCCTTTTAGTTATTTTTATTGCCATCCAGACTTATAATATTACATTTAAATTACCCTGCTCCAGAGTAGCTTAGCTACCATAGCAACAAAGCCAGCTAAGAAGTGAAGCCACGGTGTTGTGGTACTGAAAATCCTGACTCTATTTGGATAGACCACTAATTCTGCTTTGAAGCCCAGCCCCCTGATATCATCTGAGAACAAAGTGACATATTATGAAACATTGTTTTCTCAACCTACTGAAGATGACGACAAAGAGACACAGCAGCTAACTTGAACTTCTTGAGTTTCTTTACATTTCTTTAAAAGATGCCATTTGTCCCATTTTTACTTTAGTTTTGGCATGTGTTGCTGTTTTTATTTTTTTTAGTTTTCTGTGGCTTCTTCTTTTAATGACAATGTTGCATCTAATTGTGGCTAATTTCTAATCAGCTTCCTTCATTTGTATAGCACCAATTCACAACAATTTGTTTTCTAAAGTTAGGCTGCAGGACATTAGAAATCTTGCGATGGAGATAATATTAGTAATTTCTCCAATGACAATATCAGGTGTGGAAAAAAAGCCTATTTTCTTCTTTCCTCTCTTTCTGATCTGTGCTCCCATCACTCTTCAGCATTTTATTCAATGTCCATGTGTCCAGTGCTCCCATAAGGCTGAGTTCAGTTGGTTAAGTTTCACATTAATATGCAACATAAAATTATATAACAATTGGAATATACTACACAACAATTATTGCATTTCAAACAATCCTTTGCGATGTGAATATTGCACCTCGATATTGCGATCCTGATGTCTGTAGTATATCGTCCAACCTTGATATTAAGGAACTTTAAAAATACATAAAACTATGAAGTGAAACTGAGCTCATTGTTAAACTTACAGAAAGTTGGTTAAGTAAGCCTGGTTACAGTCAGGAAGGACTGGAGAAAGAAAAACACAAACAGCCTGAGAAAGGAATATTTTCTCTGATAAAGAGGAACAAAGTAGCTTAATTTAGGAAAGTCACAGCTAAGGACAGAAACACTACAGTAGGTGAGCCTTCTATGCAAAGAAACACAAAGCCAGGAAATGCATGTAAAATCAGCAATAATATCTAATGTGCATGAAGAGGAGAAGATAGCAAAATGGGGAATGTGAGCAATATGTCCACCTTTCTACAGAGACGGCTCAGGATAAACTCTTAGTAATCTTTATCAGAAGTGAACATTAGAATCACTTGTTAAACATTTTGTGCAAATTCACCTCAGACTGGAAATTCTTTGTAACTACATGAGTCAGAAAAACACAGTTATCCCCAATCAGGCTTAATAAATATGCAAAATTTACACCAATTGTTTGTTCTATTTTCAAACTAACAATCTTTACTTAAATTAGCATTAGCTTGAAAGCAAAAACATAGCTTTTCATGTAATTGTAAATGAATTCAGATAGTAAAGATTTAAGTCTTATGTTTTTGGTAATATACTAACAGAGTGTATATTTCTTGTACGACTCCCTTATTTTGCCTTTTTCCACTATTTACAGTCTGAGGTTTTATTAAAGCACACATAAGGTGCCCTGCAGAAGTACTCATATCCCTTGAACGCTTTCAGACTTTGTCACATTACAACAACAGACTTCAATGTATTTTATTAGGATTTTAAGTATTGGAATAATTTTATTCTTTGAAGAAAAGCATCCCTGCAGCATGATTCAGCCACCACCATGTAGTACCTCACGGTTCTGCCTGAGCCGTAGGGGAAGCCCAATAAAGACCTGGTCATTCAGGTCAGAGGAAAGCAATCTTAAACATTTTGCAATACATGTGCAGAAGAAAAAATAACACTGCACATCCTTATGAACACAGTGAAGGCAGCATCATGCTCTGGGGATGCTTCTCTTCAACAGGGATTGGGAAGCTGCTCAAAGTTGATGAAATGATGGATTGTGCTAAAGGTGTTAGCGGATGCTAAACAGTTGGCACAATTGCAAAGAAAAATTAGCAACAATTGTCTAGAAGTGCAAATTTGTTAGAAACACACCCCAACGCTGTAACTGCAACTGATGTTGGTTCTACAAAGTATTGAGTCGTGGGAGCTGAATGCAAATGCAAACAACACATTCTAGATCTTAATTTAGCTAAACCATTTTGAAACTATACTTTATCTTCCACTTCACAATTGTCTGCTCGTTATTGTTGGCATATCTGTAAAGTCAAGACAAAATACATTGAAGTTTGTGCTTATGTGGCACAATGTGGAAAAATGTTAAGAAATAAAAAATGTGTGCACTTGAACATTAACCTTGTAACGGATACTGTATGTGTATAGTTGTAGATGTGCGTCTTAAAGGTTAGTTCTACGTCATCATGGTGTCTTGAGTATGTGTGTGGGTGTGTGTTTTGCTGGAGAGTGTTGTGTTTATGTGTTTCAGCAATGGTACACTGCCACTATGAACCTGCTGGGGACCTGGCTCACCGAACGCATGGATCAGCAGCTCCACGTCTACCAGCTCAAGATCCTCATCAGGATCACAAAGGTGAGGCCAGAAACGCCTGGCAGGTGGGGGATCAGGGCGGGTTGGTGGCATCGGCGGCACTCCGAGCTGACGGACCTCTTTTCTCCCCGCAGAAAAAGTACAGAGACTTCCGCCTACAGGGCGTCTTGGACTCCACCCTGAACAGCAAGATGTACGAGACGGTGCGCAACAGGCTGACCGTGGAGGAGGCCACTGCATCAGTGAGGGAAGGAGGCATGCAGGGCATCTCGATGAAGGACAGCGACGAGGAGGATGAAGAGGACTAGAGGCTGCGCACCGTCCCCCCGCAACCCCCCAGCCCGTCTGTCTGTCCAAAACCGCCCGTCTCTCCACCTCCCCCCCCCTCCTCCAGACTCTCCCCGTTCACACTTTTGACTTTAGCCTGGTTACTGATGCATGTACCAACTCAGATAGCCACTCTAGGACCTCTTTGTCAGCTCGACTTGCCTCTGAAGGAACTATTAAATATAAAGATAGAAATTATACAGAAAAAAAAAGTCTAAATAAAAATGTTAAAAAAATAACCATGATTGGCAGTTTAGCTGTGTCATGATAAAGATAGCACCTATCTTTGGTCTTCATTCATTTCTCTAAATTCATTTCTATGTGTTAACTAAGCAATATGGAGAACCATTTGTTTGAAAATGTTGAGTGAGATTAATCGGTGTGTCCCTGTCCAATGCAAACCTATATGGCGCTTCTTTGTCGTATTCTACATTCATTAATGGTACATTGTCGTGATGATGAGTGTGTGGACCCTTTTCTTTGTCTTGTCCGTTTTTAAGTGAATGCCAACTGCTTTGAACTGAAAATAGTAATGATAAAAAAAATATAATAAACTGTATTTGTTTACGGCTGATCCAGATGAGCTGTCATCCGCTCACTGTTGCTACCACCGACAGTAAGTCCAGAACCTGCATTTCCTATCATGTGTCGACGCTACGTGGTCTCACCTCGATTACTAAATTAGACGCGCTCCGACAGGAATCTTGAATTTCGAGTTGGTGTTCAGGAGATGCAATATGCCCATAGATCCATTTTGATAACTTGGAAGATTCTATTTTTATTTCAACATTAAAAAAAAAAAAAAAAAAAAAAAAAAGGCCTAGAAACAGGTTCTATTTTAATTGAGTTGCACTTTTACAGACAAAAAAAGAGCAAAAAGAATTTTTTTTATTGAAAAAAAAAAAAGAAAAAGTTGGTCTGTCTGTGTTCTGTAATTGTGTAGAATGAGATGTCTGGCATTTGTTTGGGTCTCACTGTTGTTTTGTATATATTATATAAATATATATAAATATAAAAATGCTGTACATTGCATTCTGAGCCATCTCTGCATGCCTGTGGGTTCCTACCCTCCCCCTAAATGCTTTCTGTTTTCTGTGTGAACTAGCTGGTGGATTCATTCTTGCTTTTTTTGCCTTATGAAAGCCAACAGTTGTAATATGCAAGAGCTGTGGCCTCTAAATAAAAATTACTGTACATGTGCATCTTCTGTCCTGTTTAACAGCTTCGCCAAACACGACTGCAGACCGAACCAGTTGTACGTCAATACATTAGAATAGCTTGGGGAAAAAAAACAAAAAAACAAACAAAAACAAAAAAACAGGGATATGTTAAAGTAATTTATTTGAAAAAGTGAAACTCATTTGAGGGGAGTCCAGAGTGCAACCAGGGAACATTTGTGGCCCCGGGAATTATTCTATCACCAACCATACATCAACAGTTGGACAAGTTTTGCCAGCCATCACGGAAAGTTAATAGAGATGGACACATTTTTTCAGGTTAAGATTGTTACTGATAAAATTATTATGCTTAATTTAATAACCACACTTTTTTTTTAGAATTAATTTTAATTACATAACAGACTTGGTTTCATAAACCTGCCAAAATTACAGCTAGTATTTTTACTGTAACACTGTGACATCCCATTTTTATTGATGAGCATGAACTAAAGTGTGTTTCATCATTATATTGCGTATTTGGTGACTTTTGAAAAAGTAAAAGAAAATTAATCAATATATATATATATATATATATATATATATATATATATATATTTTTTTTTTTTTTAAAAAAAAAAAAAAAAAAGAAAAAAAAAAGAAAGAAAAAAAAGAAGAGTTTTGTCTTGCCAGTATTTTCACTTTGCTGATGCTGGCCACCATACCTCATGCTCCCCTCTGTAAATCCGACCTCCCGAATGTGCTTTGCTTCACATTCATATCAGGACTGTTGTTCTTTTACTTGTTGCTTGGGCTCCTCTTTCTACTTTACAGTATTTTTTTTAAATAGACATGTCAGCTTATGTAAATTCTGCAAATCATGCTAAAGGTTGGGTCTGCTTTTTCATGAGTTACTCTATCAGTGCAACAAGCCATGGAAGTGATTAGCATTTATGTCTGCTGAGGTATTAAGAAAGCACATGTTGCTTTAATAGCAGCTGTCAAGTTTGTGTCTTCTTATGGGTTAGGGAAACCAAAGTCATAAACTCGGTACCATGTATATTATGTTTGGCAGTGCATGCAGGTCTCTGCTGGGAGAAAAATAACACATCCATAAAACTTTGAAGCATATGGAAGCATCAAATAAGTTCATTTTGCTCAAAAACCCATTTTCTGAAACATTTCTTCCTTCCACTAAACTTTTTATTGATACGCTTGGATACTGAACTTTAAATAGCTACCTTCTTCATCAATTATCTTTGATGAAGCAACATCACTTAAAAAAAAACACATTAGAAGGCTGAAGATGGCTTTTTTTTCAATTATCTTTACATTTTAAAACATTGCTCAGTTATTTAGCATTTTCTGCCAAAGTTATTCAGAGCTACAGTGGAGGGTTAAAGAGAAATCTGCTCCAAACGGAGCTTCACATTGTGAACTCCTGGTGTTTCCCAGATTTCTGTAGTTGTACATAAATAGTTAATTTCTAAGAGTTTCACTTTTTGGACTGGATTATTTTAAATAATTGACTTGTTAGTGGGTTTTCTGATTTACAGAACGCAGCTGTAGATTGATTGGGACCTTCTCCTTTTGATAATATATGCAGCACAAATCAGCATAGATATCTACATTTCTTACAGACTCTGTGAAGTCCAGAACCTTCATCACACACAAACTCAGTGCATCTGTTATTTATCTAAGTTTTGGTCTAATTTTTTGGCACTTTCAGCTTCGCTTTGCAAGATGATACGCATGATAAGTTACAAAAAATGTGCACGTAAAACAACACACAAAACATTTAAGCTGCGCTGCAGAGTAAAGAACTGCATTGACCCGTTATTACACCACTCTTACATGGTATTTTCTATCATTTATTTTTACACATAAGTGATCCCAGTTCTCTGTCAGCAGGGGGCGATAAGAGATACAGGATTTGTCTTGGACTCAAAGTCAAAGCATCAATCTTTGATGCAGCATAACCGACACCACACTTTAATCATTTCATGATACCAGAGTAATAAAGGAAGATACTGAAATACAAACATGACATGATGGAAGAGAACATTTATAATTTCTAAATAGATTAAACCACTGACCAAGCCGAAATGAGCCAACTCCGCCTCCCCGGACCACAAAGTAAATGTCAGGAAGATCCTGTCAAAATCCCAGAAGGGATTTCTTTGCAGACATTAAGAGAATACATTTCTAGGAGAAATGAAAGGTAATAAAATTTGTTCCAAAAGTAGGTTGGAGCATGAGGGCTTCACTGGCATTTTGAAAGTGAAGTATTATTATTCTTTTTCTTTAGAGATTTCATAAAATAAAATAAAAAATACACACGAATAAACCAGAGACTCAAGTTCAGGGTTGAAAAGGGATTATAATTATAGCCACAAAATAACGCAGAGACGGAATTTCGGCCTGGATAAAATACAATTTTACAGTTTGAATTTGTAACCTTGTTTACTAGAGTGAGGAAAGCATCACAAAAGTAAAATTTCTCCGGAAGGCAAGTTCCTGAGGCTCGAACAGAAACATGCTTAAACTCTGGTTAAAATTCACACCTCTGACACTGGAAAATCTGTACGGAACAATTTGATTTCAAACGCTCGTCGGTTAAATAGATTTTAGGACAAAACCACTTAACATGTCGCAAACTGGAACCACATCTTTGGTTACAAATAAAGCATCAACCCACCAAGAAGGAAAGTACAGTGTCTATAGAAAAGTTTTCACTTCCCTTGGATTATTACTTTTTTTTTTTCGTGTTTTATTTATTCACAGAGTTCTTTTTTTTGTTTTTTTTTTTATTTAAATGAGACACTGATCAGCAGACGCTTATGTCAAGGTGAAAATAAATTCTATAAATTATTGAAAAGTTGAATAACAGCAAAGAGTATTTTCTTTATGTGATTAAATTTGGATCCATAATCAAACATTTATGGCCAATGACCGAAAAAAAAAAGTCCAAATATGTCACTATATAAGCAAGTTGGACCCAAAGTTCAATGGGGCCAAAGGCAAATGTTAATTTAGTAACTCTTAATTTAACCTACCAGTCAGTATAAACCATCGTGCGTGATTTGAAAAAGCATTCTGTCCTTAAACATTTCTTCTATCGTAGTTGAACA